AAGATGCAGCTACAGGAGGAAATAGAAAACGACGTACACTCGATCTCCTTTTACAAAAGTGGTGACGCCTTCCCCAACCTCCTCAACGTCTCCTGCAAGGTCCAACCCCAGGACAGCGGGGAACTCCTCAATAAAGAGCCCGTATTTGTGGATCTTCCAATCAGCTGGGTTGAGCGAGGTGGAGCGGATTTTAACCAGAAGCTCTCCGGGACCTGGCTTGGGAATGGACTTGGATCCAACGACGAAGTCGGCAAACTTTGCAGGGACTAAAAGAGCTTTCTGTTGTGTGGCCATAGCTTATTGCTAGGGTGTGGATGCGTGAGCTTCAGAAACAATGATGTAGGAAGGTAAGGAGTTTACGATGTTTTGAGGCTACTTATGTTTCCCCTTGGTTTCCCCATCATTCATCGAATTGCACCATCTTGATGGGGAAGTTGGTAAGCTACTGGCGCTGGCTTAGGAAGCAACTTTGTAATCGGAAGGTGTCAGTTGAACTGAGGTAAAAGCTCAGTTGTGAATGACGTTACCGAAGAACACAAAAGAGCATCGCATAGGGCCACCAATAGTTGGAGGTGATTCTTTTTGTGAAATATTCGTCACTCGACGGGTACAGTCATTCACCGGTCAATGAGGCACCCAAATAAAGAATGGTGTCAGAAATTTTAAATACAAGGGATATGGACATTATAAACTGAGAGAAGTGTGCGCATACATCGTACCCTATGTAATATCTAGTTACAAACTCAAATTCACGTTGTTGAATAATATATCGCATGCTATCTGTGCTGCAAACGAAGATCAGTGCAAAACCAGTCAATGAGGCAGATGTCACGCTGTCCCAATTTGGGCATTTTGCTTAGTCACTTCAGTTTCCCATCGCTTCATCAGACGTCTGTGGCACGTGTGACAGAATGTGACCTTCTCCCTTTCAAGTGTGATTTGGTCCATTCAGTGGTTTTTGGTTCACTGGAGCATCAGCTCAGCTCAAAACTCTTGTAATTGAATATTTATGGTATGCCTTGAGATATTATCAAACAAAAATGGCTCTTTTCCGAAATCTAAGGCCAAGATCACTCAGATAATATTCAGTTTTATGGTGAATGAGCACTTATCTGCAGATATCAAGAGATCAAAACATGCTACACCTTAGAAACTTGGGATTACTATAAAGACTATATATGCGCACACAACGGAGAAAGAATTAAATAAATAGCTTGAGAACTGACCCCAGAAAAGTGTTTTGACTCATTGACTAGTGTGACTCAGTGACCGGTGAATGACTGTATATCCTCAGTCTTCACTCGTTTCCGTGGACGGTGTGGATCCCTTTCCCACGCCCAGCACGAAGTTCTGCAAGGGATAGAAGGTAAATACTTCGCTGAGTATTGAGGGGGTGTAAAATGCGCTCACCAGCAAGGCCTTCCCCTCCTCATTGACATCATCGTCGCCGTCCCCATCCTCCTTGCTGTCTTGACCATCGTCCTGTTTTACTGGAAGGGGTTTGGGTGCCCTCCTAGGTGGCTCGGGCACTTGAAGTCCGGGATTCGGCGATGACTAAACGACGCCATTCCCGTTGGTCATATAGCTGGACAAAAAGTGGCCTCCAGGACCATGGCTGTTGACAGATAGGTCAAATCAGCTTCTTGAGATTCATGAATTTGAACACAAACATTACAAGCATCTCAACGTAGAATGCCTTCTGCCATTTGGTCGAGGTAGACGTGGGTTCAACTGTTGACAAGGTACCAGGATTTCTTAATGTCTTTATAGCAATCGGTTGAGATACGCATCGTCACCAAACCTGTGACTTCAGGCGACGAGACATAGAAGGCCAGCAGCTGTGGTGTACGATTGCCGGAAATTTGTCATGCGCAGAGTAAGTTGTGCC